CAACAATAAAATGTCCAAGAAAAACAGTAATAACATCTAAGATATGAACTAAGAAAAACATCAACTAAATATACACTAAGCACTCATAACATAAAACATTGAACATCAGCACAAACATGAACATGAGTCTGTGAGCAGATGTGCACGCATGAACACATTGTACGCTTAATGGTTAAATTAAAGGTTAATGCTTAATTCAGGTTATGTTTATTTGTCATATGCAGGTTAACACGGTTAACAGTATAATAAAATATTCAGGATGAGAAGAACTGATTTGACTCACTAAAACAATGAACAAACAAACAAGAAATACTAAAGCACTCAATAAGGGTACAACATAAAGTGCCAAAAAGTGAAAAACCAAATACAATAATTACAAGGTCCTAAAGAAAAAATAGTAAACAACATGGTAGAATATAATGGTGCAAGTAGGATGAATTTGTATGAATAAGTATTTCAAGGTAGTAATATAAGCTTAAATTCACATGATGTACACTGCACATAACTAACAAACTACACAGGTTGTGTGACAGATTATTGCACAGTTAGTGTTATTCATTGAGAGTTCAGTAATCTGACAGCTTGTGGATAACTGTCCTATAGCCTTTGAGTCTTTTCATGCATGATGGCAGACTCCTGTATCGTCTACCTGAGAGTAGTGGATGGAAGAATCCTTGTGCTGGGTGGGTGTGGTCCTTAATGATGCTGTGTGCTTTACACCGACATCAGCTGTGATAGATGTCCTGGCTGGTGTGGCGACTGCTACCAGTGAAGTCCTTTGCTGTTTGCACCACCCTCTGTAGTTCTTTCTGGCTCTGAATGGTGCAGTTCCCGTAACACCCTGTGATGCACTTTGCCTTAATTTTGGCTGATAAGACAGAAATGCCTCACTAAATGCTTCAGGTAACACCATGAGCTTCACTACCTCCACCATTACAGATATCTTGTTTGTTAGTTTGTCCAAGGTTAGCTCACCCTGTGTTACATTTCCTCATGGGCGAAGCGATCTTACCGTTCATGTAAAATATTTGATAATGTTCTTATAGAAACAATTCCTGAATGTTTTTCATAATGTGTTAATGCTACATGTTTGTCTCTTGACCCTACAACTGGGTAAGGTTACAGTAGACATAGCCCATTACTGGAGTTTTAATTAGATATTTTAAGCTACTAATTGTAGTATGTCAGGACAGCTTTGCTGGGGACAAACTACTAATTAATTATCCTTAAAGCTAGTTCAAGCACAAAGAATATTAATTGTTAATTACAACGGATTCTTTTCTTTTTAGAGTTAAATTTCTGCCATGTGACTGAGATAACTGTGAGTGGATTGTTTAATCAGTGACATGAGACGCAATTTTATCTTTGACTCATCAGAATAAATGCGGTCATTTATTTAACAGAATCAAAATTTAACATCAAAACATGTACACATTGATTTGCTGATCTGTTTCTGGTTAATAAAACTGGCACGCTTTACTAACAAGACAACAGAACATTACTGATTGAGGCTGATTCACCTCTGAAGGCATCTAGATTACTGGCAAATAGAAAAGTTAAAGAGGAGAAATAGATTTAAGATTTAAAAAGGAGGTTTAGATGGAAGCTATGTGTGAAACCAGAACATTGCACCCTTCCTCCGACATCCAGCTCAGCTTCCCGGTACACTTCAGGACGTGCAGCGACTTTGTTACCTTAGATGGGGGATACCTCCACTCCGGAACAGAAGTCCATTAGTACGCTCCTTTTCCAGCATCTCCGGTTAAAGTAGCTGGGGGTCATCAGAATAAATGCGAAGTACTCGGTTCCACCGAATAAGCTTCCTTAGAAGTGGAGCATTTACTGCTCGGGCTGAGTGCACAGCGATGCGAGCTGTGACTCCGCTAAATGGAGGGACCCCTTGGCACATGGTCCCATCCATCCGCAGCTTAAGGGAGTCTCATCTCTGACCGAAAGTTCCAGCAAGACTGGAAAAGACTAAGACTCGTGAAGACTAAGACTGAAGACTTTGCCCTAAGACTTAAGACTCCGACTGAGTTCCAGCACTGAACTCCAGGACTGCACTTCAGGACCGAACTTAATAGTAGTTCCAAGAAGTGTTCCTTTTAAAGGGTATCCACTTCCTGTTACATGGTAATTCCTGATTGGTTGAAACAACCATCAGGGGGGTGGTTCTAGTGATGCCAAGAGGGTCATTAGAAGTCAAGAGACAGCAGGAATGTTTAAAAAACGGTTAGTCCAGACAGGAAAATATTATGACGAAGTGAGACAAACGCAGGTGCCAGTTGAAGTTATTTACTGTCTGCTAGTTTTAAAAACAAGACACTTCGTTCTAATAACTCGTCTCTGTTTGTCTCTGACTTTCGACCGACATCACTAATCCTCATTCAGACAGAAGACTAAATGCACACTTACTTCGTAAATAGGCGTTTAACTGTATTATCAAAGTCTAATGAGGTTTAAAAATCATTAATACTGTTTCACAGTTGATTTAAATGAGTGGTTCACTTCAACATTTAGAAATGGTATGAACTAAACACACTTTTTGATTATCAAGATATTGTAAAATAGTAATGATAATATAAAAAAGAAGAGGGTTCTTTCAATTGATTAATTCAGGATTAAATTAAATTGTCTCTTGATGAGATAATTTGTATTTCTGGATTCAAATCAATGAAATAACAGTTCCTGTCCCCTGAAGGTCTTCAGAGACAGATTGTTGTCGGAGGCCTAGTTCACTACATAATAAACATGATGGATGATAATCATATTGCTTTATGCTAGGCCATTGGTAAGAAGGAGTGATTATTGTTATTGTTTCATATTGATTAGTGATTTTTTTTTCCTAAAAGTTAACTTAAGCTACACTACGGTATGTTTCTTAGACTGTGGCTAGGATGCACGAGAAAAGTGGAGTGTACTCTATTCACACAAGGAGAGCTGTTGGTCAGGCTACTTCTTGTTGTGCCATTAACTCTAAAATAGTTATTGAATGAAGTGTTTACTTGTGTAGGTAACACTAGATGTTAAATAACCTGTTAAAATACACCAGAATGCAGGAAATGGCATCTACTTTATTTTATATTTTCTGGGGGAGGACCCCCCCCCCCAACACCACCACCAGTGAGCCTCTCCACCCCAATCACATTTAAAAAAGCTTCTGACACCAATGGTCACTACATTGTTCAAGCCAAGAGCCATTGTTAGCACTGGGGGCTAAAAGCGCCCCTAAAGGGCAGGTTCTAGAATCGCCCCAGATGTAAACTTATAATTACATGATTTTAATAATAATAGGTTGTGATCTAAAGTGGGCCACTTTGAGGCTGAAACTCCAGGACTGAAAATGAGTTCCACTCCGGCCCTGTCTAGGCACATTAGTTTTTGTTTAATGTGCTCTTCTTTGGCCTTCAAGGCCTCAATAGTAAAATTCATCTGTCTCACCCATTCATTCAGCAGCTGGATCTGTGCCTTCTGAAGGATCTTGCTTGCCCGGTGCCCGCTGACAGAAGATTTCAGTTCCAGGCTCTTGGGAATGATGCCACTTTGTCTACATCTGAGGTTGAATCGCAGATGGTTCCTGTAGTCTGCCCTCTTCCTTGCTGTTTTCTCAAACTCTCCCAACTAGTTTGAGGCAACCCTGGCCAAAGTGGTTCAAAATATACTGATGCATGCTCAGTAATCCAGGTAGAAAAATCTAAAAAAGTCAAGTCTGCTCCTCTGGACATTCAAAAAACAAAACAAAAAATGTAGAAATGTTTTGTCGTTCATCCGAAAGATTTCCTCAGTCTGAGGTGCTGTATTCAGCTCAGTCTTATAAATAGCACCTTATCGTAGTGGATCAACCAGTTTGCTGCTGACAACCAAAACCAGCTGCTCACGTGATCAAGAAGGACCATCAGCCTAACAATGGATCATTAGCACACTGATGGCTGTTTACTATTCACAGGAGGCTAAGTGATACTAGCAATAACAGCATTGTAAGAGGGGGACAGTTGAACACGGAGGCCTCCACCCGTTTAATGATGGTTTCTTTTCACAAAGATGGCCTCCTTTACTCCTCTCTCAAACCATCGTTCCTCTCTATCCAGGATGTGAATATCTTCATCCCTGAAAGAGTGACACAAGAACAAGCCATTTGGATAAAAGACGAAACGTTTCAACAATTAAAAAAAAATTATCCAAGAGGACCCAACTTAACTTTGTTAGATCAAGCCGGATGCTCTGTCCCACCAGTTCTCCATCTTCAACCAGAACAAGATGGCTGAAAGTATCCATCATGTATCATTGGGGTCATGACTTGGGGAATTGAAAAAGAAATTAGAGAAGTTCAACAATGAGTGCCTGACCCCGGTACTGGCCCACCAGGAAGCGCGTTCGTCCCCAAGGCCATTAAATGTAAAAAGTTCTTGCATGGGTTCACACTCCTAAATTTCCATGTCAACTTGGGGTTAATGGATAATAATTCTTGTTTGTCGAGATATTTCTGTTGGCCTGCCATGACTGATGATAGTAGTTTGTTGCAGCCTGCCCTACATGTGCATGCAATAAGAGCAACAATCAACACCCCCGGACTATTACCACTCTACCTATTCCGAGGCAGCAGTGGTCTCACCTCGCCCTGGACTTCAATCACTGGTCTCTGAAGGTTATGATGTTATATTAACTGTAATTGACAAATTTTCTAAAGCTGCCCATTTAATCTCTTTACCTAGTTACCTTCAGCCTTGGATACCTCTCAGCTGATGGTTCAACAGTTTTTCAGCACCACGGTGATATTGTTTCTGACTGAGGCTCCCAGTTCATATCTGATAAGGCACTGGAAGAATTATTGTGACATCTGCAGGACATCTTTACCATTGCACATTTTCAAAGCAGAAAAAAAAGAAACCTGTCTGGCCACATATTGCAGCAAATAACATCTTAAGGCCAAGAGTTTAACAGAAAATCCAGCTCCCCACAAAACACAAACAAAATTGGTTTAACACCAAACTGGGCCTCTAATGGTGACCTTTTAATACGAAGCCATCATGACAGATTTGTGGCAGAATGACTAAATGAGTTGTGAAATAAATCTTAATATGAACCAGAACAAAACCAGTATGATGACCACTAATGGCAGAGGCACCTCAGGGAACAAATCAAACTTGTTCAATGTAAAAATGTTCATGCAGCAAACTTTAAAATAAAATAATAAACAGTTTCATATGATGGGACTTCCTGTGTGAAGCAGCTACTGGACATTTTCCTGACCAACAGCTTTGTTTTAACTGGGACAGTATGAAATAAAGTCCTCAAACTGCTGATATGAAAGAGAATTTAACTCAAATGAAACAAAACTTTATTAAAACTCCAACTAACAATGGCGTGGGGGGGGGGGGGGTCATAAGTGAAAATGAGGACTGAAGGGAAGTGCAGTCAGAGGCAGGGGGTCATGTGTTTGCCTTCACTCAGATCTGACAGCAGCAGTCTGGCTTCAGACCACATCTTGGTGATCTTTCAGACCATTTCCACCAGTTTGAATTTGCCGTCCTGTTTGATGGGCAGCACGCTGATGAACGTCTTGTAGAGCACAGCTCTTCTGGGCAGCTTGCAGATGATGCGGAAGACCTCAGGGCTGCGAGGTGGTGGGATGTAGACCTCCTTAGTGAACTTGACATGCCCGTCCTCCAAAGCGTAGAGTGTGTTGTTGGAACCCATGCCCACCTTCAGGACAAGGAGAGGGGATGGGGAGAAACAGGACAAAAGTCACCAATGACATATAATGAAAGTGGATGTTATGTTGAAAACAACTTCTGAAGTTCTGTGCAGAATGTGTACTGTTATTGAGCATGGACTTTGTTGGGTTTGTACTGTTAGTACTTAGGAACTCGATAGAGTCTAAATGAACCAGTTAGGACAGTTGAATGCTTTTATTTTTGTAGGCAAAGTGTGAACATTTTGTTTTTCAGGTGTGACACGTAAAACTTTTCTTCTTCAGACTGTCCAAACTTTGTTCCAACTCGGTGAGACTTGATAGGTACATGTTGCTCTGGAAGGATTTATAGAAAGAGGCGAGCACAGGAACAGCTCTGAGCTCTGCAGTTAAACCACGAGGTTTTCACAAACGTGTCATTATGCAGCTGTTACCAACATTAATGTCTGAAAGACCACAACACTTTGGTGAAAGCATAAAAATTTGGTACCGGACTAGTTGTTCTGGGTAACATTCAAAATTAGTAAAAGATTTTAAAAATTACATAAAAATACAAGTTTTAAATAAAAACATTAAATAAGAAAATTAAATGCAACATTTCATATGCACTGATTTATTGGGCCTGAGGACTCAATACATGGAAATAAATAGTCTAGTTGTGACCCAGCGTGCGAGGTTCATGAGCATGTTCCACGTCTTGTTTCCTGTTTTTGATGAATATTTAAAGCATTGTTAGAACGCCACGCCCAGGCCAGGCAACGTTACTGCAGTGTCTCCATGCGGATGTAAACAATTCCAGAAATGGTGACGTGTTGTGTTGATGTGAAGATATATATATATTTTTTAAAGTTCGACGTTAAACACAAAATTTCTGTAACTCACGTGAGCTCCAGGGTGAAATCTCAATTGCCTCTGAGTTGCGAGGATGTTTCCAGCGTGTACAAAGTTACCTTGTGAACAAAAGTAAAAAAGAATCAGCACCTTTTTAACAGTATAAGTACACACACAAACACACGCAAGCACGTTCTTGTAAACATACTTTTTGGGGACTTTCATTCATTTTCTACAGCCTAACCCATCCACAATTCACACCTTAGTCCTAAACCTATCCCCTTACCCCCCAACGAGACTTCTCCGTATGGGGACCTGGCTTTGGTTCCCATAAAGAGCAGCTGGTTCCCACAGTGCATGATTTTTTGTAAAATTTGTCCCTACGAGGTAACCTGAAACAAAAATGCACACGCACGCATGCACACACACACAGAGGATGACATTAGTGAAATAAACCACTTTACTACTGGTTTATTTTGTCCAGTTATTTTTTCTTCCACATAACTTTTCTATTGTACATGTGCTGAAGTAATAAACAAAAAAACAAGTTATTATTTTACAGTACTGTATTTCAGTTAGTGATTTTCCTTCAAGGCATCCTGATGCATGCTCAATAATCCAGGTAGAAAAATCTAAAAAAGTTAAATCTGGTCCTCTGGACATTCAAAAAACTAAACAAAGCAAAACAACAACAAAAAAATGTAGAAACGTTTCGTCTCTCATCCAAGAGACTTCCTCAGTCTGAGGTGCTGTATTCAGCTCAGTCTCTTAAAGTCTCTTAGTCTCTTCTCAGAGTGGATCAACAAGTTTTGCTGCTGACAACCAAAACCAGCTGATCACATGCTCAAGAAGGACCATCAGCCTAACAATGGATCATTAGCACTAGGGCTGTTGTAAACGAATATTTTAGTAATCGAGGAATCTATAGAATATTCTTGCGATTATTCGAGTAATCGAAAACAAAATTTGTCAGGTTCTGCAGTAACCACTCATTTAAATACATGAAAAAGAACATTAAGTAAATAATCCATTTAATTCCTCATTTTAAAATATTTTATTTTAAAATGTAATAACATGTTGAACCTCCATTTCTCTGAAGTGTAGCAAAACTTTTTTTTTCTTCTAAAATGTAAAAACAGAAGAGAGAAGTGAAAAAAGTACATTAACATGAAATAGAAAACAAATTAAAGCAAAAACAGTAAACACTGCTCTTTATAAATTCAACTTGAATGTCTGAGGTATAACAAAATCCACTTGTGCGTTTTCAAGGATCAAAGTTTCTATTGTCATTTACATTTTTGGTGCACAAGGCACATCCTCAGGCCACTCTGCAATATTTGCTGCTGTGTGTCTTTCTTCAAGCGGCATTGTTGTCAGGCTGTGGGACTCCATTTTCCAGTCCTCCCCAAGAAAGTGGCAGGTCACCCCAAGATATGCCTCTGTGGCAACACTTGTCCAAATGTCGGTTGTGAGAGCAATGCTGTCAGTCTCTTTCAGTGTGTTTTTCAGCTTGTCTGTGATTTCTTCATACTTTTTCTCCACCATTTTTATAAAGTAGGATCTGGAGGGAAAGACGTAATTTGGATTGAAGGTTGAGATCATTTTCTGGAAGCCTTCAGCTTCCACCACAGACAGCGGCCGCATGTCCGTGATGATCATATTTAAAATGCTGTTGGTGAAGTCTGCTGCTTGCAGAACTGAACATCCTGGTGCGCTTTGCACAAAGCTGTCCAATGTGTGACTCTGCGATTTACTGAAAAGAAGTACAATAAAATTATTATTTGTTTGTTCATTGCTATGCCTTAATACATTTTCAAGTGTACTTCATTGGATATTATAAATTTATATAATATTGTTAAGGGGTAATCTGCACTTTGATGACCTGCTGCAATCAAAGTAACATTAGTGTCAGTTGTATTTGACTTATGCATTTTAAGCTTTTATTCATGTGTGAGGTTTGAGGATGCTTTAAATAAAACCCTCTGTCACTGAATTATTTTTAAACATTAATCTAAATGGATAAAATTAAAATATTTTTATTTATGTGTGTTTTAAAATCTAAATGCTGTAAAATATTTTTTTTATGGATTGGAAAACTGAACAGAATCTTTATATGTTAGAAATTAAGTAAGTAAGATAGATAATGTAAAAGTTTGTACATTTGAGTTCTGCAGACTTAACTTGTAATTGTAAATGTTAAAAATACTTTGCTTTTTTTTATTAAGACTATTATTTGTCTTGATTGCTTAGCTATAAACAAATATGACAACAGTAGTAATAAATGTAGATTACTCCCAGTTTTCAAGTCATAAACAGCAGTAGCAAGAAAATAATAAATCCTACTACCTTGTTGATATAGAAATTATTATTTTAATGCTTTTATGTCAATCTAGACCTA